AGTCAGTGACTTTACAGCAATCCTCATACTAAGCAAGCATGCAGCGACAGTGGAGAGAAAAACTCCCTTTTAACAGGAAGGAACCTCCAGAGGATCCTGGCTCATGCTACGACTCACTGAGAATCGAGAAGATAGAACACACACACAAACACACACACACACACACACACACACACACACACACACACACACACAATATAAATACCAGGTAGTATTTCTATGGCTACATTGTGATTTCTAAGTAAATATTCTGTTTAGTAAGAGATGAACTTTACTGTATTTATCCTAGTGAATCTATAATTAATTCAACAGGTAAACTAGTAGTAGCACATTCTGTGTTAAAGAAAGTAAAATGTTATTATCCGGAGAGGGAGAGTGGTATGTGGTTAGCAGCAGCGTGCCAGCTGATGGCACCCTCCATGAGGACACAAGATGAACTTGTCAATAGAATAAAAATAAAATAATAGATGATTTCTTAAAAATTGCATTGGTCATGCTTCTCTACTCAAACCAGCAGAAGTTTAAGTCACATTTTTCTGTAGCTTTTATTTTGTAAATCCAAAACCAATGTGTGAACATGAGCAGCTTTTACTGGTCAGGTTTTGATTTTTTTTTTGTCTTCTTGGTGTGTGGCATATTACTAAGTGTACCCTGATTAAACTCACCCCCATGAGCAGTAGTGCAACCCCAGACATCACCACAGTAATTACTTTGGAGGCTGCTGAGCACTTGTCTCATTCTACCTCCGAGTTTCATTCACATTTAATCAAATCCTGATGATTTTAAAAGGCAACCAAATACTTTTGCCCAGACAAGCAAATATTGACTCACTGAAAACTGATTTTAGGAAGAATAACACCTGAATGAAGGATTTTGTCCATTAAGGATGAGATTACTGTGGTTATAGGAGCCAGGAAGTTCTGCCCAGGTCACCCGTTCCTTAATATCCTTATCTACTTAGTCATGTTTCACGATCTCATCCCTTCTTTTACGGCCACACAAGTAATATTCCATAGATGTGCAGAAATCCTGGAAATTTGGGTCAAAAATAGGAAAAAATAACCTTTAAATGCTCTGAAACAAAGATTCCATCATGTTTGAGGAATGTCGTGGTTTGCAATATGGAAACAGACTGAGTCCAAAATCCAGCGGTTTAAAAAAAGTTTGTTTGAGGGGGAGGAAAATCTTGGGTGGGGGTGAGGGGAGCCTCTGGAATTACACGCTGAAACCCCTTAGACACACACACACACACACACACTCCTGCTCCCTGCATCTTCCCTTCTGAGCAGTTAACCGCATCGTGTGAAGGGTGGGGTTTGGGTGGAAGTATAACTGTGCTCACTGTTTCACTTCAAGTGTCGAGACATCTTTGAAATATTCTGAAGGCTTCTGACAAAACGTCACCGGCACTGAAAGCCGACAGCTCATTAATTATCGTCTTTCTAAACGGATAGACGAAGGTTTAAAACAACGGAGCTGCCGCCGCTGTTCACACGTCCACATCAAGAGCTTCTGTTTTAATAGCTGTGCGGCGCTCGGGTTGGGAAAGTGAGCCGGACTCACTGGCACTCATCTCTCCTCCTCCTCTTTGCCTTCAAACTGATATAAGCGCTGAGATCTGAAAGGCGAAGTGCTTGCATAATAGATGTTTCCAAAAATACAGAAGAGTAGGCAGGCAAGCTGACCGAGGTTTTGGCGGCGGGCCCCGGCAGTGCGGGCCCGGGGCCAGCCATTCACGCTGTACTTTCCCTTTGCTGGACCACGTGTGCTGGAAGAGGTGTGAGGAGAGCGGTCAGAGCGTTTTCATTATGCCACCTGATCCCCTCCCTCCACCTCTCTTTTTGTTTTCTGTAACCTTGTACCATTTCGCCACTCTCTAATAGCATTCCCTGTATTTCCTCTCCTCCCCATCGTCTCTGACCTCATCATCTCTCATCTTCATCCGTCTTCTCCTTCTCTCTGATGTCTGAGAACACTTTGTGATGATATTTAGGCGTGCAAGCATCTGGAAAAGATGAAAATAGCAAAAAAAAAAATGGGGTTATTATGAAGGAAACCATTGTTTTTAAGAGCGGGTTGGGATTTTTCTCCTCAGGATGGAGCAGTTTAGGTAGCATCTACCCAAGTGTCACTCTTTTTTTAGATATATTGTGACACTTTTAAGAAAAGACGGAGCTGATTTAGGGGCATTACTGCACAAAAATAGAAAGTGCAAGAGCGCTTACATAAGTCAGGAATGTGATGAATGAACAGTGATTTTCACAAAGCTACCACCGTTTATTCACGCAATCCAACACCGCATACATCCTGCACAAAAGCAACAGGAAAAGGGCTTTCAGGAAATTGACGTCTAATTTAAGCACCTTTTACCTACTCCCTCATTCCTGTGAGTAACCAACACAAACCGCTGTTAAAGTAATGAAGAAGAGAGAATGAAAAAAAAAACGTCTTTATATGGGTTTATACCACAAATGCACCAGTTCTGAAGCACTCAGCAGTCTCACGCGTCAGGGTGGTGTTGTGGCTGAGCCATATGGGGCGCCGCCGTTTGAGAAGCTTGGGGATTTGACAAGAGCCTAAAGAACACACATACACACAGTCTTAATTGACTTGTAAAACCCCACTAAAACACAAGTTTATGGAACAAATTTTAGCCCAGCCGCTGAGGATTTGATATCGGGTTGTGCCCAGCTTGCAATTTTGTCACCGCCAGGATTTCTTTGTATGCAGTCCAACACCAATTTATGCTTTTCAAGATGAAATTGAACAAGGCAATGTGAAAGGCACCACTGAGTCTAATCTGCCATCGAGTCTCGGCGTGTGAAGCAGTTCTGATTCGTGCAGAGCGAGCTGATGCAGGGGAAGATTTACCGAGCTGCACCCGACTGCAGGGGAAGTGGAGAAGGCTTCCGCACGGACATCAATGACCTCTAACTCTTTGCAAGCTGACAGCTCAGGCTTTGGTGCTACTTCTCTAAGGTCCCCGTGATACTCATACTCCTCTTTTTGTTGTTGGAGGCATTCATTCAGAGGCCCAAACCACAACCCTGAGTCTAGGCGTACTCAATCGGAGCAGTGATTTATGATTGTGACTGTTGACTCTGCAGAGCCGGATCAAGCAGTACCCGCTGGAGCTCCTGGCAGGGCCTCAACCCCCATCCCCCCGACCGGTGGCACAGATAGCAGCAGACACTGGCTTTCAGATCCTGCAGAAATGTAAAGGGGATGTGATTTTTCACAACCAGACCCAAACCCGGGCGGGTCTCAGCTTCAAGCTTCCCTCTCAAACTGTTAAATATCTCCAGGAGGTTTACCGCAGGATGAGACAAGGAAACACACCAGAGCAGGTTCCTCTAAGAACAAAGACAGAAGTTTGAGTTTGTATTTTTATAAAATAAGACTTTCTTGGCCTATTTCACATGGTTGCCGTGTAGCGGTTTATTACTGAAAAGCACAAAAGACAGGTACTTTACCTAAAAGTGGAAAATGCAGTAGAACAAACTCAGATCCATTCCCATAATCCTGCTCCTGCACTACCACGAACTAGCTGGTAATCCTCTGGACTGATAAAGAGCCTTTCTGAAAGGAAACAAAATCAAGTGCTGAGCCCAAAATGACCCGGAGAAATTTTAAAAACAACCTCCCGAGAGATTTATGAGGTTGAATATATTTACAGCATCTTTTTATCTTTGCACATTTGACCAGTTCTCAAATGGTCTGGAAATTTCTGGTGTAGACCAGCAAACGAATCTCACAGCAGGTGTGTTTGACAGTCCTCTGAGCAGCCACTGCCTGAGGGAGAGGCCCAGTGCAGCAGTGCTCACATGCTAGACTTTTATACTGAAGGACTGGGATTAAATCATGAAATTAGTGCTCACTTCTTTAGATAAAGACTTTTTCCCAGGAAAACCACAACTTGAGTGTGATGGACAGTAGCTGAAATAGAGATAAATTGTTGCCACTCCAACCACATGTCTCCTCCGGTGCCGGCAACACCCGGGGGAGGCAAACAGGAACATTAGATGGGACTTTAGTAACCAGGCCTAGAAATTACATTTTGGTGCTAACTCCTGGCTTCATTTTGCTCAAAGGAAGCCAAAGGTCAAAATAAATTCAAAAGCTGAGAAGCTGTGTCTGGGATGCTTGAGAGAAAGGCAGTGAACATCCGTATGCTCTGAGTTCTCACTGTCCAAGAGCTGGCTGACTAATCCTCGATCTTCCTCCCTGATCTAAACCCGAAGCCCTCTGCAGCAGCAGAACACTGTGGCATTGTGTCCCTGATTTTAAGAAGCCTGTGATTCATTTACTGGCAAACTTTTCTGGATTCATGGACTGTATTTTTCTCATATTCAGACCTGTATTGGAAGTCATCTTTTCAAAGTTCAGCTGGACTCTTCTGCCTGTTTATGTTCAAGAACTTGACTGTGATGCACGATCAGGTGGCAATCCGCTGCCCTTCCTGTCAAAAATTTAAATAATAATAAATAATTTTTTAAAGGATGAATATGAATATACTTTTTATTTTGAACCAATGAGTCATCGCACTTCTTCAGAACTCTGGTGCTCTGATGCAATAGTGCCCTCTGCTGGCAGAAATAAGGAACTTTGTATTTGTACAAACTGTCAAAACTGTGTGTGTGTGTGTGTGTGTGTGTGTGTGTGTGTGTGTGTGTGTGTGTGTGTGTGTGTGTGTGTGTGTGTGTGTGTGTGTGTGTGTGTGTGTGTGTGTGTGTGTGTGTGTGTGTGTGTGTGTGTGTGTGTGTGTGTGTGTGTGTGTGCTAACATATATTTGAAATATGATGCTTTTTGCATAAATTCTTTACAGATTATATAATAGTGACAATCTGTATTTTTAAGATGAATAATTATTTTCAAATGTAGTTTTGTGTTTCAAACTTTAGCATGATTCATATTTAATAAGTTACTGTGTTTTAATTTAGAAGTTTATAATGTAAAAACACGTTTTTAATATTTTCTTTTGTTGTTCTTTCTTTTTTCAGATCTGCATTGCTTCAGTGCCAGATCCTTAATCCACAATGAGGGGGAGGAGATGAGCTTGCATCGAGCAGCCCTGTTTCTGCAGTTCCTGCCACTGGACGCCTACTAAATCCCATTGTCCAGAAGATGAGGTCCCTGACTCCCAGATAGCAATTCTGAGAACCAGGCCTTCACAGCACAGACTGTGCACCATGGCAGGAGAGACCCAGCGGATGCATACAGTCAAAGAGCTGGATGCAGAGTCCAAACTGCAGGATGAGGGTACGGCACTGGAACAGCAGAGTGAAACAACCACAAAGGGGTCTTTGGAGCACTTTTCAAACACAGGCACTGAGGCCAGACTCAACAGCAGAGAGGCCAAAGCTGAAAACGTAGAGAAAGAACGGGACTGTCCTCAGCAGCGTGAAGCTGTCATTCGGCCACAGCAGACGGGAAAGATAGATTTCAGATCACTGCAGAACAGAACTAAATTTGCCACTGACAGGACTTGGTCAAGTGGGAAAGGTAGTCCCCAGTCACCGAGTGGGAAGGGCCGCAGCCGAGAGAAGGGGAAGCGGTCAGGAAAGACAGAGCGTGGAAACCCACAGCAGCTGTACAGACTAAGCATTACAAATCCACGCACTGTTGGCATTGCCTACCCCCAACAGAAAGTTCTGCCACCCAAGCAGTTGGAAACCAGTCGTGGCCCAGCGTCGGGCAGCTACAGGTTCCACGTTCCCAGTGCGCCAGAGAGAGAGGTTGAACTTCAGCAAGAAGAACTCAGCTATAGTCGCTTCTTCCAGGAGAATTCCCCTAACATTACCTCTCCAAGCTATACCTCACATCCACTGGGTTCCTCGAGTGGAGCAGCATCCCACCCACACCCACCTCTGTCACAGCAGCAACCATCAATGGAGAACAGCAGTGCACAGCCCGGTGGCCAGCTCATCCTGACAGACTGTCAGCTGGGCGGCTCAAACGCGTGGCAATCTCCTGAGAGGACTTTTAACGGTGCTAATTATGGGATTTCATCACAAAAATCCACATCCCTCACAGAAACCAGTAAGGCAAATGCCTTTATGCCCGGTCCATTTCAGTATGGATATCACTTACTGGAACAACCCGCATCTGACTCCTTTCCCTGTGAACAGAACCCCCAAGCCCAGGACCTTACAAACTCTTCACTGGGCTCTGTTCACACCACCCACAACTCTTTTCCCTTTGCACCAGGAGAGGGGCAGAGCATCGCTCAGAACAGCCCTCAGTTCACTAATGAACTTCAGCTAGAGGATAGAAGCTCTTATCCCCATCCCCCGCAGTCCCAGTTTATTCCAGCGGTGGCTTCATCCATCCAGTGTCCCAGGAATCTGAGAGAAGACTCACCCAGCAGTGACAGCTCCGGCTCACAGCAGTCAGAGCCGGGGAAGCCCGCTCTAGCTGAGAGCACAGAGAACACCGCACAGGCAGACAGTCAAGATGCAGCCATCACCTCTGGGAGTAAAAGAAACTGTCACCCTAAAGACACAGCTGTCAGCCAAAGAACGCTTATGCAAGGTGGAGCACACACAAGGACTATCTCACAAGCTCCTGGCTCTCCAATGCACTTTCCCAACAGAACGTTTAACAGTCCTACAGTCGGTACCATTTGCACAGGCTCAATGCCTTTTGATAAAAGTATCACTAATAACGCTCTGAACAGGTTACCGCACTCATGGGAGGGGCCTAATAAGACATATCCACCAGCTGATCAAAACACAGTTCAGTACGCTGATATGAACGAGAAGTTTCAGTTTCATAGCCAGGTGGCCGTCGACCACAGGCCAAACTCGTCCAAGAGCAGCAAAATGCCCTGGCAGCAGATTCGGCCAAGCGCTGCCATGCCAGCGAACAGGATGGAGTCATCAAGGCAGATGAGTAATCAGAAACTGGCCTACATCGTGTCCTCGTCTGACTGGCAGGATGAGAGCAAATCGCATAAAACAAACTCCGTAAAAAGCCCCAGTCTGTTCCAGAGCAGCAGAGGTGCTGACGGACTCTCAACCCAAAGACAGGAGACCGTGAAGCACGCGGCTAACTCCGTCTCAGCATTTAAATTTGAGATGAGCCACGCACAGCTGTGTGAGTCCAAGAATAAGTCTGCATACTTTGGACTGAATCAGTCTCTCACAGCGGCGCCGTCGAGACACTACAGTTACCCGCCGTTGCAGGTCTCACCTATGGGGCTTATGAGGGTGTCCCCCTATGAGTCCCCTCTACCCTCCCCCGTTCATAACCACGCACCTAGCAGCACCTGCTCCTCCCTCTCTCCAGCATCCACCAGCCCAGTAAACCTCAGCTCAGATGAAAGCCAGCTGTCAATATCTGCCCCGCCTCACCCGTTTTACCAAGGTAAAGCTCAGATACCTTCAGACCACCTAAGCACCTCTCACCAGTTTCATTCCGATCCCCCTCGAACTGTTCCCTACATGCCAGACAGACCCAAAGAAGACATGATGGGTTGTCTGCAAAACCACACCCACCCAAAGACATCTATGGATGGCAGTAAGGGCTACGTGGACAGTTTTGGTGTGGAGCATCACCAGCCTCCTCCTCCCTACACTGAACACCCGCTCTTGGCCAGCTCGTTAGCCACGGCGTACCTGGATCAGCTTGATCTGATCCTGACATGCAAACAGTGCAAACAGAACTTCAACAACATGCCTTCATTTTTAGGCCACAAGAGGTATTGTGCGCAGCACGCATTCTCACAGGATGACCTCAAAGACGTACCAAAGATGGAGGACAATAGAAAGTTTCACACAGAACCAGTTAAAGCAGCTCCAGCCGACGTTTCTCTGTCGATATGTCCATCTGACCTTCACCTGTCCTTGTTGGGCCTCAACAAAAACGGAGAGCTGATTTCTGAAAACGAAACAAAAGGAGACAGTAAAGATGACCCACTGAAGCTGAATTTGTTCTCCAGTCCTGGAAACCTTCCCATTCCTCTCCCAGAGCTGGAAACGGAGGATGCTAAACTAGACAGCTTGATAACAGAAGCTCTGAATGGACTATCGGGCTATCAGTCAGACAACGCTGAGATAGACAGCAGCTTCATTGATGCCTTTGTTGATGATGACCTCACCACTGTCAAAACATCATCAAGCAAGCAATGTCTGAAAACAAAAGAGTCTGTTGCCTTTGAGAGCAAAAACAAACAAGCCGCCGACAACAGATCTTTCACGCAGGGAAAGTATGGTTACGACTCCGATGCTGAGAGCCAGGAGAAAACGTCCGCAAGTTTGGGAGAAGACGAGAAAAAAGAAGCCTCTCATAAAAATTCAAGAATCGCCTCGAGGGAGAAGACGTGGGAACAGGAGAGCAAAGTGAAGGAGGCGAGAGAGCTGTGTAAGAATGAGGACAAAAACACAAACACACAAAGGTTCCTGTTATCCAGCAAGTTTTCTGAGCGCTGTGGTTTAAAAAGCTTTCAGGACAACGCTGCGCTTCTCGGGTCAGTGCCCTCACAGGCCTCCACATCTCCAAACTCCAAACCCGCTGCTAGAGAAAGCAAGAGGAAAAGCACCGGAGGGGGCACCTGGAGCAAAGAGCTGATTCACAAAATAGTTCAGCAAAAAAACAAACTGCACAAGCTGCATGTTAAAGGAACTAAAAATCTCCAGTTCTCCTTAGTGATGGAGAGGCTCACCCCCGCGGTGCAGAATCCTGCTTTTGGAGAGTACGACTACGTCTCAGACTCGGATGATGAATGCGAGCCGGTGAAGATAGCGAGCCAGGGCCGGCTGAATCAAAGCAGCCGCTGCAAATACACGTACACCAAACAGTGTAAATGGCGCGCCAGGAGCGAGCGAGACCAGGCGGTGTGGAGACAAGAGTCCAAGGAGTGCTTTGAGATGAAAAAAAGCGAGGAGTTGTCGCTCACACCTGAGAAACCTGGTTCTCACCAGAGACTCGGCAGGAGAGGCAGCAGGTCGTCCACAAGCAGCGACCTCAGCACATCCGTGAGTGTTTCCAGCGATGGCATCAACAGCCCCAAAAGCACTGATCGCACCGACTCAGACAGCGAGAAGAGGACGGACAAAAGGAAAGAGTCTCCAGAGCAGAAAGGCCACGACAGGTCTACCCTGCAGAAGTTATTTAAGGAGTCCAGCACGCTAGCACTGACATTCACCAAGTCTGTCAAGAAATACAACGCCGACAAGGCCGTTGCTTCTGATAACAGAGAAAGTTCTGAAGACCTGAAGAAAAATCAGTCCAATTCAGAAGCTGCTGATCAGCTGAAGTCCTCCCAAAAAGCAAGAGACGCGTTGAAGAACTCTAAAACAAAATCAAAAGAAAAACTCATGTCTCCAAAAAAAGAACCTGGCAGAAACATCCAACAAAGAGCCGACAAACGGATGCCAGAGGAACCAACAGAGTTCAGCAGCAGCACAGATAACAGGACATTAGAGGCTGATTCACAGGATCCAACTATCACCAACGATTCTGACTTCAACGGTGACACAAAGGGCAAAAGAGAAGACGAGTCACACGCCACCCAGCCCAAGCTATCGGGCGCCGCCACATTGGAGAAACAGAGTAATGGTGTCTGCATGGTGAAGGAGGCCATTACTTCAGTCAGTGACCTAGACACACCCAGACCGCCATCTATTTGCACATCTTTGATGGATGAGGTGTGTCTGTCCCCGACTGAGACCCACAAAGATGCACTCCACCTCATGCCCTACCCACTGGACCAGGAGCAAGGCCTCATGAAGTCACCGCTTTCTTTTGACACCTCATCAATATTTGGGGACCTTACGGGATTTGACAGCAGCCTTTACTCCGAGCACCCCGTTCACAAAGAGGGTTTCCCCTCTTTAGAGACTGCGGCTGAGAAAAAGGAAGAGTTTGTGTCGTCTTTTTCTTCTTTTATGGAGCAAAGAGACTGGAACCTCATGGTTCACCCCGCGCTACAAGATGTGATAGCTCCGTATAAAAGCAGCTCTGAAAAACCAAATGAAAAGAAGTCTGACTACAACCACATTCCTCTTTCTCTGCCAGAAAAAATTATTGACTACAGTGCGACTCTCAGCAGCTGCGTATCAGAGGACGAGCTGGAGATCAAGAGAATCGTGAACGAGCTTGAAAACCAGCTGCAGACGACTAAGTTGAAAAGTCCGCCTCTGCTGGATCAGGATGCCCCCAAGCAGCTTCAAATGAGCAAGTTTTCACCTTTACATCTAGGCGAGGAGAGCGTAAAATGCCCAGAGCAAAGAATGGATCCACCTGTTTCCAGGATGCCTCCGGAGCCTTTCACTGAAGCGGACCTCACGTGGCCCGGAGAGTTCCAGTTTGAGCTAATGGAAGAGAATCACAGCCCCGAAATCCCGGATCACAATGAACCGGCAGCACAAAAACACAAACCGCTCCATCACGACCCAAAACTACCAGGGAGAAATACGGAAAAGGAGACACCTGCTGAAACAAAGGAGGAGATTTTAGAGCAGGAGCAATACGCAGAAACCCTCATGAAGAGCCTAGAGGTGATTTCAGACTCTGTATTCAAAAAAGAACCTGTTATATCAGCACAGCAGAGTCCAAATGTCAACTCTCTCTCAAGTCAACAACACGAGAGGAGTGAATGTCAGGCCGCTGATGCAGTTGGGAGAGAAGATCGTTGTGAAAAGGAAGCAATTACCGCGGAGGAGAATATTTCATCGCTTCCAAATATCAATGAGCGGGAGGATGAAATTGAATTCATTCTCGATGAGTCACAGTCATCTCTCTCCAACGAGAGTGACCCTTCAGTCGGTCACATCCAGCCAATTTCACCGCCGCCAAGTGAACCCGCAGAAAACGGGGATTACAAGGCTGAGCCCAAAGTCGCATCAGAAGAGCATATCGCCACAAACCGCCAGTTCACGGAGTCTGCTCGCTGCTCGAGTGCTCTGACCCATCATTCGTGCCTCTTTGGAAAGTCTGCGGAAGATCATTTAAATCAAATTATTCTAAACAGCAGCGACGTGAGAGAATATGCACCTACAGATGAGGAGGCAGAGGCGGTAATGTCGATCACTCTCCAGCCTGAAGGTCGTCCCTCATCACCGGCTCTGCCTGGCTCCACTCAAGAGGATGACACAAAAATGGCTGATGTGATTAAAGCTGTGCTGGAGCAACGGTCGTCTGGTGACAAACCTGAAGACATGAGCTCATCACAAGCCAGTGAACTGAAAGCTGATAACACAGCTGGAGAAATAACATCAAAACAAGATAATCTGAGCTTAATTTCTCCCTTTAAAACCTCCAGCCCTTTAAATACAATCAGCAAAACAAACATATCGTTAGAAATGGCCACCGTAGACGAGCCCTGCGGCCCCATTATGGTGAAAACGAGTGCAAAAAGCTGCTGTTCACCCCTCCACGCCACCCAGTCTGCAGAGGGACAAAGCAATCTGTTGATCCTGTCACGCTCTGATGACATCATTAACAGCGATTCCTGCAAAATGGCTCAGTTTAATGAGTCGTTGAAAGCTGGCGTGGGTCTGGACTTCGAGTCTGCGCAGAAACAAGAGGAGATTCTGAATGTTCAGGACATCAAAGAGCATCTTCCTGTTGATTTCATGGCAAGTCAGCAAAACTCCCCGTGCAGAGAGGCAGCCGAAGAAAGTCACTGCATTTTTTTAGAAGCCGCCCCATCTGCCACTCCTCTTTTATTAATCTCCCCTTCACGACCCGTGCAGGAATTCGACTCGGAAGAGGATTTGAGTGGGTCTAAAAATAAATGCTCTAATGAATATATTGATCAAGGCTCTGAAAATGAATTAAAAGATGTCGACCCAAATCTGAAAGAGGCTGTAAACAGCGACTGCTGTCTGGTTGACACACCTCAGTTGGACTTGAGGATCACAGAGTGTAAAATCTCTGAACCAGTCGGCTCCTCTCCACTTCCTGTGAGCAGCGCGGCAGAACCACCGGAGGTGACAGGCGGACTTGAAAAGAGCGATCTGATGTATGATTTAAAGCTCAGCCCTCTGAACTACGACGTCCTCTCAGGTGAAGCTCAGCCGCTGAATCAGTACGACTACATTCCCATCTCACCTGCCAGTAAACCTGAGGAAAACCTCAGCGCCCAGCAGCGACCTGGAGATGACTGTGAATCATGTGACTTGAACGTCAACTCTGCACTGATTTTTGATCAAACCAGAACAGAAACAGGAATGTTGCTGAATGCGGATCCCAGAGCTAAACTGGATCCATCAGATGAACCTCTGAAGTTCACATGCTTTTCCTTGGGTCTCACAGACGAGATGAAACAAATGGATTCCTCAGACGGTGGCGTGAAGACGAGCTTAGAGGCTGAGGATTTGCAGATCCACTCCGACCTCCTCCTGAGAAACACTGAAGCTGATCATCACAAGGCTTCTTCTGAAGACGACGTCCTTCTCAAAAACGAACTTTCAGATGCAGATCTGCCCACTTCTAAACCACTTGTGTATGAAGGCGAGCCCCTTCCAGTGGACCAATCAGAGAAGCAACAAACACTTCACCAGCCACACAAAGAAACGCTGCCGAGGAAGACGCCGAGCGGTGATCCACAGGGTAAAGAGCTCTGTGAGATTTGTTTCATGTGTTTCAGAACTGTGCCCGGCTTAAAGAGACACAAGGCCATGAAGCATTCGGTCAGAGCTGAGAAATGCGTTGGCCCACAGAGCGCAACACCAAACCATCAGGGGGCCGCGCTGATTTATGAAGCTTCACAAACTACAGAGAAAAGGCCTAAAGACGATTCACACATTTGCTCCCCAACAAAAATAGTTGCGCTGCCTGAGATAAGCGGCTCCCTCGTATCTAAAGCAGCAGAGGGTGAGCCGGTTCCGGAGGAGGTGGCGACTGAGGCGATGGCGGTGGCAGCAGACGAGACGAGCCACCAAAACTCTGCGCTGCCAGCAAAGACAAAAAGGAACAACAAAGCTAGAAAGAACAAGAACAGTGAGCTGAATCCTGACCCCTTCTCTGATGAGCTGCTGAATATATTAAAAACAGACATTCTCCAAGCTATAACTCCTGAATTCAAAAGCGGCACGCTGCAGGAGCGAGGCGAGTCCCCTGAGGTAAAAATCAATGACAGAAGAACTGCTGGAACAGAAGAAATCCCTCACTGTGTTCCTTCAGACGCAGCGCTTAACAACACGACCCGGACTCCAACAAAAGTGGCTAATTCGCTCAGCGAAGCTGTGGGGCACATTCGGTTCGCTGACACGGAGGCGACGGAGTGTACAAGCACGCCGGAGATGTCGTATTTAGACGTGTGTGTGGATGTTAATGCAGAAACATCAGAGAAGGAAATAACTGGAGAAAGTGACGAGCCCAGGAAGAGTCTGTGCTTTGTGGAAGAGATGTGTGAAGCAGCAGGAGCGAGGCACAACCTCGCCCTGGAGATTCTCGGAAACGTGTCAACAGAGGTTAGGTGTGGGGGGAAACAGAGCCCCTCCATTGATATAAACCCCCCCTCCCCTCCCAGTCCTCCCAGCATCAGTCCGGACCTCAGAGCCCTGCTCGACGACGACACCACCTTCTCTCAGCTCTTCCCCAGAGACGAGGAGGCGAAGAGGAAAAAGTGCCCGAGGGTTTACAGCAAGAGAAACAAAAGGCCAAAGTTATCGCAGCAGTCAGACTTGACTGGAGACTTTCTTCCTCCTGAAGCCTTCCTGCAGCACAACGATGGGTACGTGGAAGCTGAGCAGACCTCCAACACCCAAACCAGCCACTGTGAATACAAGACCATTTCCATTGATGATGCCATCATGTTAAACATGTGCCACAACGGTTCTTTGAAGGCTGATAGTAAACCGAGTGATGAGCAGGATGATCGCAGCACCGTCAAAGAGCTCAGCGGCGACCTGGTGGACCTTCTGGAGGGCACTGTTGATGAATCTACAGCTGAATGGAGCGGCTCCAGTGACTTTGTTGGCTTTAACGACGGCTCATCGTTGACCTCTGAGCCCAGCGTTTGTAAACCAGAAGAAGCGCTGAGCCCGTCCTGTCCTGTGCCAGCTGATCCCCGCACGGCTAAACTGTGTTCCCCAGAAGGTCCACAAACCTTCCACAGCATCGACATACAAAATATTAACACAACATTCCAGCTTCCCGATATCCAGTTCTTTGACTCCGATAAAGAAATCTCCGTAGCTCCGCCTCTCGAAGCTCGAGACGCTGACGGGAAAGATGAGGAAAAGTCCAAAAAGGCGTCGGAGCGGCGAGGCAAGAAACGGCAAGAGGGAGGAATGAAGGTCAAAGACAAGCAGTACAAATGTAAAGTGTGTTTCACTTGGTTCCTCACACTGGGTGAGCTGAACTTTCACAAACTCTCCCACAACCCTTCTCCGCCTCCGACCTGTTACATGTGCGTCCAGCGCAAGTTCAGCTCCAGGGAGCAGCTGAGGGATCACCTGAGGGAGAAACACGCCAAGAACAAGACGGGTATCTGGACCTGTGGCATGTGCCTGAAGGAGATATCAGATGTGTGGATGTACAACGAGCACCTACGGGAGCACGCCACACAGTTTGCCAGGAGAGGTCAGACTCAAGGCTCCATGTTGGGTCTCCCAGGGTGTTTCATGCAAGAGACAGCAGTGAAGAACTTTATTTCCTCAATCATGCAGCAGCGTCCCAGTAAAACCAGCAGGGAGTCCAACAAAGCTACCAAAGACCAGGAAAGGCTGGTTTCTGCAGATGGCACTGAGACTAAGCTGCATAAGACCAAAAGCAGCAGTGGAGGAAGTGGGAAGCAGAGTGTGCTGACCCCGCTTGAATTCCTGAAAAAGGCAGAAACCCCCAAAAGTCTAGAGATGCACCCAAACTGCAAAGACCCCTCCAGAGACTGCCACCACTGTGGTAAACAGTTCCCCAAACCTTTCAAACTCCAAAGGCATTTAGTGGTGCACAACCTGGAGAGGATTTTCCTGTGCCACAAGTGCCCCGTCTCTTACCAGGAGGCCCAGGATCTCAAAGAGCACCTGAAGAGAGCTCACGAGGAGGCGGACGAGCCGGACTCCAAACACACCACGCTTTACACCTGCGAGCTCTGTGCCGACGTCATGCACGTGATTAAAAAGTCCTTCATCTGCAGCACCTGCAACTACACCTTCTCCAAGAAAGAGCAGTTCGATCGGCACATGGAGAAGCACCTGTCAGGGGGGAGCAAAATCTTCAAATTCCGGGGAGTTCTCAGGCCTGTCAAAGCGTCAGCGTCCAGAGAAGATGAATGTGATTCGCCTGCAAGTAAAAAGAGGAGAATTCTCTCTGACAGTTTGCCAGAAAACAGCCCAGACAGCGGCATCGCCAGTTTGAGCTCACTGCACTTAAATCAAAACGGTGAAGCACAGTCGTCAAAGCGCTCGGTGTCCACCGTCGATGACGCCACTCAGACGTTCACAAACGAATACCACGACACAAACAACATGAGTGTGAAGATGGAGGACGTTTCTGCAGAATGCTCTCAACTAGGAGAGTCTGCTGCTAGCAAGGAGGATGAAGCTGACTTATCTCCCTCGGCTGATCGTGATAAAGCAGGTGACAAAGAACCAGTTAGTGAACCGTGCAATGTGAAAGAAGAGAAGGAGTCAGTCTGCATAAGAACGGAGGAAACTTCATGGTCTAAAGAAAGTTTCAGCAAGAGAGAGGAAGTAGTTAGAGCTAAGGAAGGTGACTTTACTGAAAGTGAAGGTAAAACAGATTCGCCTACAGCTACAGAGAACTCTTTTGTCAGCTCGACAGGAAATCAAATCCTCCTGAAGACGCCTGAGTCTGCAAAGCCTGAATTAGCTGCTGCTGAGACGAACAAGCAGGAGGAGGATGAGCAGAGGCGTCACGCATTGTCTTCTAATGACAGTAAACAGCAGTTATCATCTCATGGTGGTGAGCAGAAAAGCAGTCAAGTGAAAAACAACACTAGCCCGGCTACAACGCCGTACAAAACCAAAACCAGCTCCGTGATGAACGGTGCAAAGCCTGCAGAAGCAACTCCGGTCATCCCGACCAAGGCTTCCCCCCTGGCATCCACCACAAACGAGGACTTGGTGAAGCCGCAGAAGAGGAGGAAGGATGTGAAATCTGCACATGCTCTGCAGCGGGTTTCATCTCCAGCTGCACAGGAAAACGTAGCTGTCGACGCTAAAGCCAAAAAGAAATTTCGCCCGAATAAGTGTGCAAACCCCTCCCTGCAAAGAAAGTCCGACGGAGGCCACGAGTACCCCGTGCTGTCCTCGGTACGGGACGACGTCGTCAGCAACAAACTCGTTTCCAAGTGCAAGAATGTGAGCCTGAGCTTGCAGTCAAAAAGAGGTTTGCTGGAAAGCTGCTCACCAAAGAAAGTCGACATTATCACGCCTCAAAATGGGGATTATAAACTCAAAAAGGGACCTCTTGGGAGATCTGTGCATTCTCCTGTATCTAAAGTGTCTTCAGTTCCTGTGAACAACTCTTTGAATAAACCAAGGCCAAAGATGGGGGTCAGGTCGGTGGAGAGTAAGTCGTATCGGACGGCGGAGTCCCAGAATCACCTTCTGAGTCAGCTGTTTGGCCAAAAACTCCCCAGCTTCAAGATTCCTTTGAGGAAGGACACGTCAGAGTCTATTAACTGAGGGGGGGTAGGGGGGTGGGGGGTATCTGTGAATAGGAGTCTGTAAATGTTCAGTTTTAAATGTTTAAGACAATTCATTATGGTGAATGAGATTGCACAGCTCTTTTCTGTGAAATGCTATCTTTAAATACTTCCATAGTCACTTTATGTCTTCTTTGTACGTGTTTTTATCACACAAGTGCGAGGACGAACGGCAGATGCATTTAGGAGAAATCAGAGATTACACTTATATCATTTCCATAAAGGAGAAAGCCAAAAGAATACTTGAAAACACGTGTTGTTTTACAAAACCCAGTTTGCATTTCTTACATAAACATTTGAGTCTTCTGAAGGACTAAATCATGCCATTCCTAACATGGACGGTTGTTTGTGCACCTTTTCATACATTCTATCAACTTACTCATTTTGTACTTTTGACTTTACTGTACTGCGGTGACATTCACGATCCCAGACCTGTTCTATGTATGAACATCACCTGGTGCTACATGTTGTTTTTCTGTAATGTGAATGCTAATATCCTCAGAAGGGAGCACGAGATCTGTAGCAGGAACAGTTTATACATCCAACTGTATTTTATTGAACAAACTGTATAAACCATCCAAGTCATTCACACGTACGCTGATAGGACTCACAATTAGGACAGCTCCTGGTGTAAAAACTCAGGTGCACACAAGTCCAAAAGCCTGTATTCGGAGTTCTTTCCATGCACTGATAATACCACACACAAATGACAAACTCATTTATCTGTGTCTGTAACTCCAAATGTTTAATTATTAATAGTATTTACTAGGACAACAAAGGTGCTTTATCTTGTTTATACTGTATGTACCTTCATTGTATGATATTGTAGGTAGACTGTTGTTTGGTGTAATGCTTCGTGTCAAAGTTTTATTTTAATAATGTGCAAAATGAATGAGATTGAAAAAGAAAAGGGAAACGCCATGCCTCTTTGTAAGTTTGTAAAGTGGTTCACTAAGTGCCTCCTTTACCGTTGGTTATTAAAGATCTGTATTGATCTCTCATTGTGCATTTCTTCCTTCCTCCCCCCATCCACCATTCCTTATTGGAATGTTTTGCAAATGTCCCTGCATCCCCGCGGACCGCATCTGTCACCACATGCATCAAACAGTAGAAGCACTGGAAGCTGCTTGTGCCTGGAGGCAAAAACAGGTGCACACACAAACAAAGTCTGACTCTTTTTATTCTCTCGTTCTCTCAGATGAGCACATCAGTGAGTTCACTCATCATCTGAAAGATGAGCATAAATGTACTTTTACTACAGGGAAGCACTGAACAGAAGACAGATACATTCATCCACCATATGTCTCCGTCGAGAAGGCGGCCAGCAGCTCTCGCTTTGGTCTCGTTGCTCTCAAACCACGTTTAAAATGGCTTCAATTCCTACGTGAACGTTTGTCATCATCACATAGGAATAAAAAGCCATATTACACGGTGGCTTACAAGCAGAAGCGCGCCGAGGATCCAATCAGGAGCAGTGTTTTCCCATCTTCCTCCAAATTACAGCAAGATCTGAGCAAAAGGAGCAGAAAGATGGGGCAGACAGACAGGAGGTTATTTTCTCTGACAAGAACAGCAGCTCAAACATTCATCCCAGCAAACTAAGAGATGCAACTTTGTGTTGTCTGGCTGAGATTGAGACTGCTGCAGACTCGTGAAAACACAGAAACGATGCGGCCACAGCTCTAGATTCTGGTTCTGACCGCGCTGCTGTTTGGTATGAACAGAACCGAACATTGAGTCAAAAGGAAAACACAGCCCTGTTGGAACAACTCTTTAATTAATTTAGTGGGAATGGCGGCTTGGCAGCGTCCACAAACACCATATTTCTGGACTCTGTGACAACAACAGAAAATAAAACCAGCCCAACTTTTAGGGAATTATAGACCTCCGTTCCAGAGCTGCTGCACGTTATTGTCAAAGTCTACCCACCAGGGGGGACTTGGCAGGTGTGTTACATCTTTGCTTTTGTTAAGTCACGCTGAAGGGATAAATTCGCTCAGCTTCCTTGAGACGGACCAAAGAAGACGTAAAGATAGGAAATCTTAAAGGTATTGCCTGTTTTAGCATATTTTAGGGTATATATTAGATCAAAAACCTCACAAATGATACATTTTGTGGAAAAACTTAAATTTCTGCTTATATAGGAAATGTTCTTCATAGTGTAAATAAAATTTCAAAAAACTATCCTGATTTTTTACATTATTTGGTCGTTTGGACCATTTTTAGCCAAATAGGACTGCTTAAAATTATCTATTTAAGTCAGTGCTAAGTGAAACAATACTGGGATACTCTTTAAAAATATGAATATATGTAATTACTCAAAATAGATCTAGTCTGCCTTGTCATGGTTTGAAGAAAAACGAAAGAAAAACCGATGCCGGCAGGCGTCTTAACAGTGTGAACAAGCTTTGATTGACACGATAATAATTGCTAACAAACATTTTATAAAGCCTTCCCTGATTACTTTGACATACCTTACTGCTTTTCAGATGATATCAGCTGACATGTTGTCATAAATCTGCTGATGTGTTGAGAGACGACCGGTGTCTCACAGAGGGGAGAACAATATTCAGGTGTTTGGCTCTGATTCCTTCTCTTTATTCAAACCAATTCTCTAATCCCTCGCAGCATAAATAGAAGGGTCAGGAAGGATGGGGGATCCATCTGTGTGTGTGTGTGTGTGTGTGTGTGTGTGTGTGTGTGTGTGTGTGTGTGTGTGTGTGTGTGTGTGTGTGTGTGTGTGTGTGTGTGTGTGTGTGTGTGTGTGTGTGTGTGTGTGTGTGTGTGTGTGTGTGTGTGTGTGTGTGTGTGTGTGTGCACTGCCACTGCTGTAAATGCATACCACTGATTGAAGGCAATTATATCAAGGATAATTAGAAAATAAAAGACAAGCTGAGGATTATAACGGGGATTTGTTTTTACTCATATTAGCCACTTTCGTTTAGAAGAAAATGACTAAAATCAACAACACATCAGGCTGCTTGATTAACCAGCACCGTTTTGGGTGGAAATGAGCTCAAATAAACCCAGAATACCTCCACCCTGTTGCCAGGGTTTCTGTGTGATCGTTGCCAAATTTAATTCTGCTACATTTTTCACTTAAAGAGAAGATGCATGGTTCATTTTCCACCCGGGATGGGATTAAAATCTAGCACGCTGCAGGAATCCTGACAGGTCAAGGACTCATTCATGAGCGCGGCGCCTCAAGGCAGAGTGATTGATGATGTCAGTGACGTCAGAGCCATCAGGATGTACCAAAAAAAAAATGCCTGAGATTAACATGTCAATGTGACAAACTGTGATGGAAGGAAAGTCTTATGATTTTTTTGCTGTTTATTACTTATTTTGGATGTATTTCCCTATGGGGTTTTGCTCATGAATGCATGGCTCATGTGTTTTTTTCCCATTTTTACCTGAACTTCCCCGTCTGCTCCTTTTCCCTTCTGTGAAAATTCCCCCGGGGCCTCTGGTCAGGAGCTGTGGTTTATTAAGAAAGAATTAAAGACCTCGGTGTGTTTTGTCAAAGTTTAGCCGGGAACGTGTCACGCAGAGTGAGTAGGAGTCCCGCACACCCCACTGTCAAGCATCTTTTTATCATCCGATCTGTGCGGAAATTCTCCAGAGGCACCGTTATGCAGGAGCATGACAGGAACGCTTTGCACTTTGAAGTAGAGTGACATTATCAGTAAGTATGGTCCTGAAATAGCATCTCTTCTGCCCCCCTTCTCCCTCCATCTCTGAATCTCCCTTCCCTGCCTCGTTCTTCCCTGCATCTATTTCTCTCTGCCACCACCCTCACTCTCCAGCTCTTCCCTTCATTCTCCATTTCCTCCTCACCATCAATTTCCATTTCAGCATCTCACCCCCCGTTTCCAGTTTTTGCCTCTGCCTCTCCCCATCACCTTCTTCCTCTCTTTATCTCAGTCATACACCTGCATTTTTTTATTCCTCTTTTTTGCACACATCTCTGCACATTTCCCTTGCCTTCCCCTCCTGCTTCCACACTTTGTATCCTCCCATCTCGCCATGGCTGCCTCTCAGGGAGGTCATGAGATCAGGGGCAGATAGAGATGGGCTGCTGGTCAGCGGTAATGACACACAGGCTGAGAGGCCACTAGGGTCACCTTCCTAGGGAATGTAAGGCTTTAGCCATCGCACAGGAATAAATAGATAGAAAGATGGGCAGGACTTTGTTGCACAAAAGGGGAGGGATGGCTGAGCATCCCTGGGGGGGGGGGGGGGGGGGGGGTCGTGATGAATTTCCATCTGAAATAATTTGTGCTCAGTGGTGAGAATAAGCCTGAATTATTTAGAATGAGCATGTTCTCCTGGTGTGAACAAAGAGAAAAGGGGAAGATTTCACAAAATGCAGCTTTAAAACCGATGTAATCACATTGATTTAATCACTATTTCTGTTGCAAATCTAGAGATTCGTTCAAATTCCAAATCAAATGTGGGAATATATATTGAAAAAACAAAGTTTTGCAAATGCAAAAATATTTATTGTAAAATATTAGCCCACCGTAACAAAATTAGCTGGTAGGCGTGAAAAAAATAAAATGTGTTGGCCTTTATTGTTGCTTTAAAGTCTTCCAACTCTTCAAGGACTCCAAACTCCCACACGGCTAGAACTTGAAATATTTTTCCAAATCAACAAGGGCAGTAGTACGATCAAAATAAACTTCTTAGCAAAAATAAATAAAAAAGCTAATAGAAATTAGTGACGCAAAACATTTAAGCGATGCCAAGCACGCTTTGGATAACCCAAATTAATGGCCTCTCTCCAGGAAGTCTTGGTCCCTTCCTGCCAACAGAGCCTTTATCAACTCAACCATTTGTCATTCTACTCAGCACCACAGAGGGAACAGGCTGCACACAATAGCTAAAAGTACCTGTTCGATGTTCCAGGTTTAAGAAATAAATGGGGTTGCTTTGCAGGGGCTATGCAAACAAATGAAAGGCTTTTAGTGTGTCTGCAGTGAGTGCAGAAGGCTGCAGCCAGCAGCAGGTGTAGGAGTCGCTGGCCTCACAGGAGACATGCAATCCACTTTAAATGCAGTTCTCACATTAATGCATTTTTTTATTATCATAATTATTTTTTTATTGTTATTTTTAATATACTGTTATCAAAGTATTTGTAAGACTGCTTAAACCTGTTTTAAAATGTAATTATTAGTCGTTGAGAGGAAATGAAAACTGTTTAAATCTCCATATAATCTGGACGTGGTGGTCTGAAGGGATGTCTCTCCTGTCCCATCACTTCTCCAACTCTAACCTTCGTCTCCTCTTCCACCCCCACTCCTCCTCCTCCCTGTGGTTACCTCTGAAGAATCTGAGGAAACCAACCTAACATTTGAGCTGACACAAAATTGGATTTCCGCTGCGATTTTCTCCCCGAGCCCCTCGTGGAGTGTAATCCACGCTGTGACTAATTGAATGACATGCCAACAGTGAGGGTGTGTAAATAAATGGTTGCCGGTGAAAATGTGGCTCTGACCTGCTTCTTTTATTCGGACGGAGTTCATTAGGCAGAGCAAAGGAAGTGATGCAGGATTCTCCAACACAATTCAGAGCCTTTGTTTGGTTGTGTTCCGAATGTGACCCTGCACACATTTCCATTTGGTTGTTGATGACATTTATAACTAACCTCAGCAACTAAGAATCCATTTTCTCAGAATTTAAAGGTTCAATATCTCAATTATAACATAAGCAAACCTGTGTTCTGAAGTGGGAGACCGAGAGGTGTCAGATGTTACAGGATGACTCACCACAGCTATGTCACCTGTCTGACCACCACCACCCCAGAAGGCAGGTGCAAACAAGCAAATCCCGTATGCAAACAGTGAAAGAGCTCTCTAATCATGACGCATCGGATTAGAGGAAGAAAAAACAGCTCTTTGTTTCATGTCGATCTTTTATCTTTGCACCAAAATCTCTTTAATCTTAAATCTCTGACATGCCCTCTGCTCCAGGGATCCTCCGTCTGATTTGGATTTGAATAATTGAAAATGTTTCCCTCCCAGGAGGACTCTACATAGCAGTTTTTGCCTTCATTAAAAACTTTCCACTAATCTCTGCATGTGTGTGTGTGTGTGTGTGTGTGTGTGTGTGTGTGTGTGTGTGTGTGTGTGTGTGTGTGTGTGTGTGTGTGTGTGTGTGTGTGTGTGTGTGTGTGTGTGTGTGTGTGTGTGTGTGTGTGTGTGTGTGTGTGTGTGTGTGTGTGTGTGTATGCGTGTGTGCGTGTGTGTGCCTTTTTGTACTAAGAACACTCTCCTTCCATCCACACCCCTGGAAAAAAACACACACACACACCCTCTCATGTTCACACAAGATGTAAAAGTGCACACACACACCGTCACACAGACACTGAACATGCTCGCAAGGTTTGCTGTAGCACATTGTGAAAAACATGATAGTATCTTGATGAGGTGAGTTCCCTGGCGGCAGTGAAATTGGCACGCAGCATGCAACAAAAGACACTGAAGAATGAACTCAGAAACGGGTGATGATGTTGCATACGCACCTGTGGGGTTTCGGTCACCAGGCTTCTCCACCTAAGTTTGCTCTCCTCTCCCGTTTGTGGATCAGTCTGCCGGTGTGTTTCAGGAGGAGAGAGTCTTCATCCTGACGAGTCGAACTGGGGCTCAGCTGCAGAGACTGACATCATCCCTTTCAGAGAGGAGGTTTTCCCCTCCCGCTATCTGCACCCTCTATGTGTGTGTGTGTGTGTGTATGTGTGTCTGTTTCACTCTCCCCATCCCTCCCTCACACTCTCTCAGCCTCTCACTCCTTACAGTAGTAAACTCCTCCTATCTCTCCCTCTCCTACTCCTCTATTTTATCTCTTATTTGCTTCCAATTATAGCTGCTATTTTTAAAAGCCACCACAGGTGAAAAAAGTCCTGAACAAGAGTTTTTATTATTACTATCAGCCTGTCCCCTGTGTTATGGTTTACCCCCACTAGGAGTTGACTGCAGATCCTTCATAGTTACTTTCTCCACTTCCTTTTATTAGTTCCTTTGCAATTTGTGGTAAAGATCAAGGAGCACACAAAGCCTAATGGGCAGCTCGCTTCCACCAATTCAATTTTTTTAGATCAGCAACAATGGGAAAGAAAAGAAGCCAAGCACGGGTAGCCACTTTAAAGTGTATTGAGATAGATGCCTGTCGTGGAGCCTACGATGGTGGAGATTGGTGTTGCTGTCCGTGGTGCTGATTACGGCTGAAGGAGACATCACTAAGGACAGCCGTGACCCTGTAGACCCCCAAAAAATAGCCTTCAGCAGGGCAAAGAGGAAAAAAACCTGTTTCAGCCACTGCAGAAAACACAAGCTCCCTCTCTCACTCACTCACTTGAAAACACACACACACACACACACACACACACACACACACACACAATGAGACACAAACACACATATAGAGACTTAAATCTACCTCCCAGCCTCCTCCTCTGTCTCCCACAGGCATTTCTCTGCGTCTCAACTCATTTAGGCTTACATTCATCATTGTAAGGTAAGTGTGGCAGGTGGGATTAAAATGGATTAGCCCTATTAAAGAAATGTGTGGTGCATATTACATCTAAACCACACACTCACATTTATCCACAGATGAAGCCAGCTGCAGGAACAGACTGAAACGCTAATCCAGGAGAGTGAAACCAAGAACACATGCATGTGACTATCCAGATAAATACGATCTGATAAAAAAAAAAGCAAAAACAGCTGGATGAAACTAAAAGGGCTGAAAAAGGCAGTGTGATGATGGTATACACAGCATCGAAAACAGGAGGGAGAAGTATAGATGCAGTGTGTATCGCCGCTTTTCTGCCACTCACACAGTGGACTCCTTTTGTTGTCTTAACTCTCGTCTCAAGAGGTAGCTTTTAGAATCTCGCCTCCTTGTTTCCATAGTGACACTTTCCCTCCTTTGTGCAAGAGAGTATGTGTGTATTTCAGAGACACACAGAGACAGGCGTGGGGAGGGGAAAAAGGAGGGGGATGACAGCAAGATAACTTGGTTCGCTTACATTTATTCACCACAAAAAGAGAAAAGAAAAATAAGTCAACACAGCCAGTTTTCTACATCAAGCAAAGTCTCTTTTGTCTCCTTTTATTAAATATCAGCACTGAGTTGCTTAACTTTTGACTAGTGACTCTGCTACAGCTCAGAAAACATGAAAATGTTCCCACGGCAGCTGTGTTACTAACAATAGTAAGTGCTGATCTCTCAGGAAAATCATTAATAGATTACTCATTGAGCTAGGTGCTAATTGTTGGGGGTTGTGCCTGAACACAGTTAGGTTCTAACGCTTTGCTGTGTGGGATTGCACCTTTTAACACCTTTCAAAAAGATATTTATTCCCATGCCGTTAGAATTTTCAGCAACCGTGGGAGCATATTTTGAAACCATATGGTAGTCCTCACACATGACACAATTAGACAAAAAAACAGTAAACAAGCACCACGCAGCTTTGCTCAAGAGGTTTCATTTTATCTTCCAACCGACAGTTATTTAGTCAAATGAGAGGGAAGTTACCGAGCAGCTGTACTGAAATCTACTCAGAGAGGATAATGGAAAACATTCCCAACGACCTTGGATAGTTCAACTATCGCCCTGATAAAATACTACCTAATCTGTGGCGCGCTGCGTGTAATAAATTATTAATTATGGACATTAAACGGCTGAATTTATCACTTTCAAAACAACCTAGGTGGAGATCAGAGATTGATGGTAGGGAAAACAGAAGTATCGGTTGTGTGTCTCTACACATTCTTGTGACTTTATCGGGACTTTTTTAGGTTAAAAAGCTACTGAAGAAAGGTGTGTGCGTGAATGTGTGCATACGTGTGTGTACGTGCGTGTGTGTGTGTGTGTGTGTGTGTGTGTGTGTTCTTGACTTTTAATCTTCACTGGGAACAACAAAATCCCCGTTGCGTTTGGGACCAGTATAAGCATGAATTTAAAACAATAAGTACTTGAATCAGATTATCCTAAAAACTAATTCAAATTAGGGAAAAACGCCTTCAATTGGAAAAATATTTCAGTATTTGGTATTCATACATTTTAAAAAAGAAAGTGTGACTCCGACAAGTTAAAGGGACTTTACGGAGTTTTGAATTTTTATGCTCGCTATTGCCCCCTCAGGCCAAAAGCGTAACGGCAGCTTCAATAGTAGGCTCGTGCATGAGGCGCGCAAGAAGGTCCTGGGTTCGCTTCCCGGCCTTCCCAGGATCTTTCTGCATGGAGTTTGCATGTTCTCCCTGTGCATGCGTGGGTTCTCTCCGGGTACTTCGGCTTCCTCCCACAGTACAAAAACATGACTGTTAGGTTGATTGATCTGTCCAAAATGTCCCTAGGTGTGAGTGTGTGTGTGCATGGTTGTTTGTCCTGTGTGTCTCTGTGTTGCACTGTGATGGACTGGCTCTCTGTCCAGGGTGTACCCCGCCTGATTGCCCGTTGACCGCTATTATGGTCTCAAATAAAAATTTGGGCATCTTACTGTAAAAAATATACCATTAATGTAAAAAATAAACTCTAAATAAACTATGTTCACATTTAGAATTGAACCTGGGTCTTCTGCATCAGAGTCCGACGTCTTACTAGGTAAGCTAAAGCACTAGTGATGTCTTCTGTATCTGTAACAATTATATCCTTGATGACAGCTGAAACAACGTTCAAAGAACGGTTCGGAGCGAAAATGGCTATTTTGTTGCTAAGTTGCAGGAAATATCTAGAAGAAAGTAGCTAAGGGTCCTCAGAAATGTAGCTAGGTTCATCTCTAGGCGTTAGGAATTGCGACAAAGTCGCTGAGTTGGCACTACCTCTCTCTCTGCTGCTAAAGCTACTGATAGCAAATGCTACGAGCTATGCCTGAGCGTGAACGCGCATGAAGCAGCCTGCTCGACCCGAGCAGCTCTCTTTTTCTGTGATTTTACAGAAAAACCGGCAATCACAGTAAAAATTCCAGAGCTCATTCTGCAGGACCAGGGCATTGCAGGAGAATGTATGAAGAAGACATTTATTATTTCTATACATGTTTTGTCTGTCAAACTTCCATAATGCCCCTTTAAAGTCAACGTTAAAAACAGTTTTTGCTGTTTGAACATCTTAGGTGTGTTCTTGCTGTGTCTTTCTAAATCCATGCTTTCGTTCTTTTTTAAACACAGAAACAGTTTTGTTTACCTGTTTGTAGCTACAGTTTCGCCGACGGCTGCCGGCTTCTTCAGGCTGACGCTGATGGTGGCGCGTCACTTCCTTCTCCGTTTATCTGCGGGCAGCAGAGGACGTTGTCGCCCTCTACTGCCCGCTCTCCCCTCTCCGACGATGCAGTCCCATGCGTGGTCCAGCGTGTAAACTCCGTCGTCCCTGTTCATGGTCCCACATCCACGTCTCCTTATCTCGATTGCTTCCTTGATCCATCTTTTGTATTTTTGTTGTTCGGTGGTTATGATCCGTGTGTTGTCCCAGTCCATTATATGGTTTTCTCTTAAGCAATGATCTGTTACGGCTGACTTCTTTATTGTACTTTCTGGTTCTTCTTTTGCTGCTCTTGTGTGTTTACGATTTGCCTCTTTCTCGCACTCCTTTCTGTGTTCTATTGTTCGTGTATTGAGTTGGCGTCCGGTTTCTCCTATGTATGTTTTATTGCATATTTTGCATGGGATTTCGTAGATGACTCCACATTTTTGTCCAGCTGATATTTTGTCTTTTGGGTGTACTAGTCTGTTTCTAACTGTTGTGTATGGCTTTGTTGGTGTGTTTATGTTGTGTTTTTTCATTGTTGCTCTTATTTTTCCGTTATGCCTCTGATGTATGGTAGGGTTATCACTGGTTTTGGTTCTTGTCTTTCTGGGTTTCTGGTTCTTTTTTTGGGTTGTTCTTTGCTTTCTGTTTTTGTTTGTTGTTTTCCTTTGTTTATTGCCCATGTCGGGTATGCGCAGGTCTTTAAAGCGTGTTGTATGTGTTTGTCCTCTTGTTTACGGTCTCTCTCTTCTGTTATTATGTTTGCTCGGTGATATAATGTTCTGATTACTGACATTTTGTGTATGGTGGGGTGTTCTGATGTCCATAATAGATATTGGTCTGTGTGTGTTGGTTTCCTGTATGTGTTTATGTTTAGGGTCCCGTCGGTCTGTCTGGTGATTTTCATGTCCATAAATGCTATGCTGCCTTCTGTTTCTAACTCATAATTGAATTTTATGTTGCCCGTGTCGTCAATATTGTTTAAGTGTTGTGTTAGTGTTTCTGTTTGACCTTTTGGTATGATTTCTAGTATGTCATCCACGTAGCGTTTCCATAGTTTTATTTTGCAGTTTGGGGGGGCGGTGGCTATGGCTTTTTGTTCCAGGTCTTCCATGAAAAACTCGCACAGGGTGGCTGATAACGGGTTACCCATGGCGAAGCCTTCCAGTTGTTTGTATATTGTGTTGTCGTATGTGAAGTAAGTGGAGTTAGCTACCAGTCCTATCAGTTGTGCTATGTCATCTGCTGTGAGGTTTGTCCTTTTGTGTAAAGTTTTGTCTTGTCTGATTCTGTTAACTACTATGTCTATGGTTTTTTGGGTTGGTGTTTTTGTGAACAGAGATGTGACGTCATGTGAGATGAGTATGTCGTTGTCTTCTATTGTAATTTCCTTTAGTTCTTTTGCCAATTCTATACTATTTTTGCAGTGTTGGTCTGTGTTTCCTAATAACGGGCTGATGATTCTGCTGATATCTTTTGCCATGTTGTATGTTGGTGTACCTATGCTGTCAACTATTGGTCTAAGTGGGGTGTTTTGTTTATGTATTTTTGGTGTTCCATATATTCTTGGTGTTATGTTTGCTGTAGGAATCCAGTGTTTGTACATTTTTTTCTGTTATTTTGCCTTTTTCATGCAGTGGCTTCAGTAATTTTTTCATGTTTTTCTTAATGTTTTCTGTTGGATCTTTTTTAAGCATTTCATATGTATTTTTATCCTCTAGCATCTGTTTCATCTGTTGTTTATATTTTTCTCTGTCCATAACTACTGTGGTTCTTCCTTTATCTGCCGGTAGAATAATTATCTGTTCATTTTTGGATAAGGCTGTCATGGCTGATTGTTCTTCTTTTGTAATATTGCTGTGTTGAATTTGGCTGTTTTTTAATATCCTCACTTTGTTATTTCTGAGTTCTGCTTTCTTTCCCTCATCTGTGATCTGTTGACATGCTAGTTCTGTTGCTACAATAAATTCATCATATGGTATTACTTTTGGTGTGACTGCAAAGTTTAAACCTTTCTTTAATATGCTCTCTTCTGCTTCTGTTAGTTTGTATTGTGAAATGTTACATACCCATGAGTTTGGTGTGGAGTTGCCT